TCTAGCTCCATAGTTATTTCAAATTGCTCAACTCACTTGTGGAGAAAAGCCGGTCCCGTGTGTGTGTGTGTGTGTGTGTGTGTGTGTGTGTGTGTGTGTGTGTGTGCGCGCGCACACACACACACACACACACACACACTCCCCTACATCTAGCAGCCTTAGGGCTAGGGAGGACAATATGTATTCGTGTGTTATGTGTGTGTCTGGAAGGTGATCAGTGCCGTGTGGATGACCTTGATCGTGACTGTGTCTGCTGTTGGATCCTCTCTGTGTCCTCTAACGGAGGAACTTATGTGCCGCTGGTGGCACTGACTGGACTGCTGTATGTGTGTGGTGTATGTGCTGTTTTGGCCCATGGCTGCCTCTCCCCTGGACCTGAGACCCTTCGTGGGGATTATGGAGTGTTGGTTATTGCTCCCTGAGATAGGAAATGAGGCTCTGGCCAGCAGAACGTGAGGCACTGTGTGTTTGGGATAAAGTGGGCATATTTGGCACCACTGCCACCATCCCAGCCACCATGTTCTCACCAGGTTTATAGTTCACAAGCCCTTTCACCTCCCCATCTCTGTGACAGTCACAGCAACCCTATAAGGATGACAGGGCAGGTAGAGTCTTTCCCACTTTGGGGAAAGGTGGGGAAACTGAGGCATGGCGAAGGGAGGTGCCCCGTGGAGAGATGGTGTGAGAGTGCGCTGGAGACCAGATTCTCTGCTGTCTACCTCCCCAAGAAGCAGTGACAGGAGTTCAGTGGGCTGTCCGACACAGCGGTGTCTGTTGCTGGGTGGGCTTGTCATGGTGAGGGGGTGTCAGATTGGGGAGCAAGATGCTTCAATTCCAACTCTTGGGCTGTGGGTGACATCCTGGGTCCCCACTAGACATTTGGCAGTCGTGGTACTAGGATCATAGGCATCCTCACTCTGACCAGCTCTGTGACCTTGGGCAAGCCACTTCACCTTTCGGAGCCCCCAGTGCCCTTACCTAAAAAACCAGATAGTTAACCATATGCCAGGACTCCATGAAACCCCTACGCAGGGCCATGTCACTGTAGGTGCCCAGCACCTGTCATTCCTTATCTGGATGACTCTCTTAACCCTGTGTGGCTTGTGACACCCCCAGAGAGGTTGAGCTGTCTGGGGGCTGGTAGGGGAGGGTTGGGAAGGTTGCTTTTGCCCGGGGTGAGATTGAGGGCCACAGGGTGTGGGGGCAGGGCTGTGCCCTTCCACCCCCCTCCCTCCTTCCCACTCCCTGTGAGCTTTGTGTTCTACAAACACAAAACCTGGAAATGGTTGAGGAAGATGGAACCTCCTAACCATTGTTTGGAGCGGGAGTCAGTGTCCCGGAAGCATATTGGGCTGTGGGGCAGGGTTGGGGGGGTGGACTGGCAGCTGCATTGTGCCTGCTGGGTGTCTGTCCGTGAATGGGAACAGCTGGGTGGGAGGCAGAGAAGGTGGCATTCATTCACTTGGCAAGTCCTTTCTGAGCACCTACTGTGTGCCAGGTGCTGGCCTGGACACAGGGGATCCAGCGGGGCACTAGGGACAGGCCCTGCCCTCCACAGTGTGGTCCCAGCACAGGTGGGAGACCTGGTCGCTCGGGAACTTGCTGGCGGTGTTCACGTGTCTACCAGCTAAGCTCAGCTTCAGCCAGCCTGTTGATCCTGGCTGTAGGCCAGGCCCTGGACTGGGCGTTTTGTCCTCTAATCTTAGCCAGTCCTCCCAGCATAAGAGTTGTCATGGCCATTGTCCAGATGAGGAAGCCAGAGCCCACACACTGATTGGTTCCCCACATTGGGTCAGGATTTGGGTCCCGCTGCCTGGTGGTGGGCTTTGGAAGGGCAGCATATACAGGGGCTGGCAGGGGCTCCAGCTGCCCCTTCCCCCTGCCTCGCACCACTGCCCCAACATGGACACCTGTTCCGGAACTTGTGGCCATTGTTCCCACCGTCCTTCCCCTCGGGCCCTTCCTGTTTGTATCCCTCGTGCAGTAGCCCCCAACCCCACCCATGCCAGGTGCTTCCCTTGGGAAAACTCTGACCCTCTGCAGGAAGAGGGGTTGAATGGGGTTTTCCCCCTCCCAAGGGAAGAAGGAATGGGAATTCTGAGGCCACCAGCCCTGGTTCCCTGGTGCCCTCTGCCCACCCACAACATTAGGTACCTGGCAGGAGAATGAACAAAGTTAGAGTCAGACAGCGATGGAATTCTCAGCTGGCCCAGTCCTGGGAGGGGCCCCTATCCTGCTGCTTCAGGTCCTAGTCCCCTGTGACCCCAGTCATACACTGGCCCCTAGTCGGAGCTGGAGCATTAGACAGGTGGCCTTGGGACCTCTACTCCTTTCTCTAGGAATCCTGTCCTGGATTCTCTCTGGAACCCACATCTGCCACTCCTGGGTGGGCCAGGTGGGGAGCTGACACAGAGAGCAAGAACCTGGTTTTAGGGCATCAGGGGAGTTGGGCAGCAAGCACCTACCTGCTCTGATGGAGCCTCCCGACCCCCAGAAGCAGCCGCCTGTGCCCTGGTGAAACTTCATGGCCACAGCCCCAGACCCTGCTGGCATTGCCATGGGCAACGTGGGCAGCCTGTTGGAACGGCAGGACTTTTCCCCTGAAGAGCTACGGGCAGCACTCGCAGGGTCTCGGGGCTCCCGCCAGCCTGATGGGCTGTTCCGGAAAGGCTTGGGCCAGCGCGAGCTCTTCAGCTACCTGCACCTCCCCAAGAAGGACAGCAAGACCACCAAGCGGGCCCCTCGGAACGAGCCTGCCGACTATGCCACCCTCTACTACCAGGAACATCCTCGGGCCAGTGACTTCAGCAAGACTTCGCTGCCTGAGCGGGGTCGTTTTGACAAGGTGTGCCTCTGCCGTGCCCCTCCCTACTGTGGTAGTGTGGGGATGGGGGCTTCCTTGGAGACCCTGATGCTGGGATGGGATGTGAAAGTCTTTTTTTTTTTTTTTTTAATAACATGCGGAAAATTTTTTTTTAATATGTAATTTATTTATTTTGTTGCACTGGGTCTTAGTTGCGGCAAGTGGGCTCCTTAGTTGCGGCACATGGGCTCCTTAGTTATGGCAGGTGGCCTCCTTAGTTGCAGCATGCATGTGGGATCTAGTTCCCTGACCAGGGATTGAACTGGGGCCCCTTGCATCGGAGCGCAGAGTCTTAACCACTGCGCCACCAGGGAAGTCCCATGAAAGTGTTGCTATGGGCTGGCTTGAGACTTGGTCACTGCCTCCTGGTGACATGTCCTCCATGTTCTCAAAGAGGATTCCCAGGGGCTGCGGGAGGGAGCATCGGAGGGCAGAGCAGAGCAGTCAGCCCAGGGTCTCATTCCTGCCCTCTCTTTCTGGCAGTGCCACATCCGCCCATCAGTATTCAAGCCGACAGTGGGTACCGGGAAAGGCTTCCGGTCCACGCAGAGCCTGGCAGCCCACAAGGGTCAGAAGCTGTGGCGCAGCAATGGCAGCCTGCACACGCTGGCCTGCCACCCTCCCCTGAGCCCGGGGCCCCGGGCCAGCCAGGCCCAGGCCCGTGCCCAGCTGCTGCATGCCCTCAGCCTGGATGAGGGTGGCCCTGAGCCCGAGCCCAGTCTGTCCGACTCCTCCAGTGGAGGCAGCTTTGGCCGCAGTCCCAGCACCGGCCCCGGCCCCTTCTGCTCCTCCCTGGGCCACATTAACCACCTCGGGGGCTCCCTGGACCGGGCCTCACGGGGTCCCAAGGAGGCTGTGCTGAGCTGCTTGCCCGAACCACCACCCCCCTACGAGTTCTCCTGCCCCACTGCCGAGGACATGGTGGCCGTGCTGCCCGACACCTGCGAGGAGCTCAGGAGGGGCCTCAGTGATGAGAATGGCACCAACCCCTTCACGCAGGTGAGAGCAGCCCCTGCCTTGGTGTGCTGTTCTGTCCCTTGGCATTAGAGTACAGGGCAGACAGAGGGTCACCAGCCAGCTCTCCCACATGGCTCTGCGCACAAGAGAATAAGGAAGATAGAGGTGATTTGGCTCCTTTCCCCAAGCCCCACGTGGTGGGGATGTCATGGCATTGGTGGTCCTTGCTGGGAGTTGGGTGGGAGGGAGACTCCCCGGGAGGGCCCTGTATTGAGGACACTTCACCTGTGGAGGACATCGTGGGTTAGGGCACATGTGTGGCCAGAGCATTGGACCCTGGACCCTGTGGTGTTGAGGCACAGGACGTTAGAAGCAGCTGGAGTGTTGGATCTGTGGGCCAGCCATGGGAGTGCAGGCAGTCGGTGTCCGGGGGGCAGGGCCGTGTGTGGATATCGGGGCATGGCAGGCGCCTCTTCCTCTTGGCAGGTGCTGGAGGAGCGCCAGCGTCTGTGGCTGTCTGAGCTGAAGCGCCTATACGTGGAGCAGTTGCACGAGGTGACCCAGAAGGCCGAGCGTAGTGAGCGCAACCTCCAGCTACAGCTGTTCATGGCCCAGCAGGAGCAGCGGCGCCTACGCAAGGAGCTGCGGGCACAGCAGGGCCTGGGCCCAGAGGCCGATCCCAGTGCCCGATCAGAGGAAGAAGCCCGATGGGAGGTGAGAGACTAGGCATTCAGAAACTCCTGCCCTCATTACTGTCATCCCATCCTCTAGCTGCCTTCCAACTGGTCCCCCCTTACCCTGTTTTGCTTGGCTCTTGCCCATCCCTGTCCCCCTTCAGGTGTGCCAGAAGACAGCAGAGATTAGCCTCCTGAAGCAGCAGCTGCGGGAGGCCCAGGCTGAGCTGGCACAGAAGCTTGCTGAGATCTTCAGCCTGAAGACGCAACTTCGGGGCAGCCGGGTGCAAGCCCAGGCCCAGGACGCAGAGCTGGCCCAGCTGCGAGAGGCTGTGCGGAGCCTGCAGGAGCAGGCCCCTCGGGAGGAGGCCCCAGGCAGCTGTGAGACCGATGACTGCAAGAGCAGGGGGCTGCTGGGGGAGGCAGGAGGCAGTGAGGCCGGCGATGGTGCCGAGCAGCTGCGGGCTGAGCTGCTGAAGGAGCGGCTCCGGGGCCAGGAGCAGGCGCTGCGCTTTGAGCAGGAGCGGCGGATATGGCAGGAGGAGAAGGAGCGGGTGCTGCGCTACCAGCGGGAGATCCAGGGGGGCTACATGGACATGTACCGCCGCAACCAGGTGCTGGAACAGGAGTTGCGGGCACTGCGGGAGCCCCTCGCGCCCTGGAGCCCTCGGCTTGAGTCCTCCAAGATCTGAGGCCAGCGGAGTGAGCTGATAGCAGAAGCACTGTCAGAAGATGGCTTGCACAAGCCCACTCTGAGACGGCCAGCTCCTTCCTTATATTGGTCTGGGGCAGAATCTGCTGTGACCAGCCAAAGATGGAGAGGCTCGCTGAGAGGAGGGATCCAGTGGGGCTGTGGGCTGGATGGGTGCCAGCAGCAGGAGCCAGGGCAAGGCCCTACTGGCTGAGGAGTACCCAGGCAGAGCCCAGCCCTGCTCCCTGAAGTCGGTGTGGCCCAGGAAAGGAGGTTTGGGAGTGAAGAGCCCTGTGATGCAAAAAGTGTGAGGGAGGGAGGCTGGGGTGGGAACATTGGCCTCCCCAGAATAAAATCACATTTTCTACGAGGAGGCACCAGGTGATGATGTTGGGCTTGTCCCTGACTTGAGTCCAGAGGATCATGGATGGTCAGGGTTAGGGCTGTTGTCCCAGGTTGTAGCTCCACCATGTTCATGGTCAGTGGGGAGGGTATGCCTTGTGCCTCTGTGTGCAGCTGCTGGACATGCACGTTGGGGACTGGAGGAATCCTTGCCCTGGCACCACAGAGTTCCTTAGCTGCCATGTGGGATGAAATTCCTTCCTTTAGCATCAGTGGGACTTTTCAGAAGGCAAGTCAGCCAAGGTATTGCTATAACATGAAACGACGTCCTCTTTTTGGAAAGTCTGGGCCCCAGGTTCCCAGGCCCAGCTGGATGCGGGGCCGGCCTAACACAGCTTCTGCTGGAGAACCTTAAGCCTCCAGGAGGGGCCCTGCACCTCCCAGAACATACCTCCCACCTTTCTCTCTGGCTTGTGCACCCCTCCCTCCGTTGGGATGAGGGCCCTGGGAAGGTGCGGGAGATGAGGCAGAGAAAGCTTGGTAAAGGGCCAGAACCACAGCCCTTTACCACAGAACCACAGGGAATGTGGACATTTCCCTGTAGGCATGGGGGGCCATGGGGTATTCTTGAGCAGAAGTGAGATATGAACTGATTTGTATTCTGGAAAGTTCTTTCCTGGGAGGAAGCACCCCCATCCCTGGCCCTGCATTAGGCTCCCTGACCCTTGCTCTTAGCCAAGGCTGGTCCTTGGCCCCTAAAACCCACTCCCATCCTTGCCCTCTCAGACATCTGGCTTCCCCTCTGGCCCCTTGCTCCCTCCTGGGTGGGTGATCTGGAGCACAGAACCAGTCTGGCTGTGCAAGAGGCATCTCCCTAGCCCTTGCTCTGAAGTTTGGTGTCCTTACCAATGCATCTGTGTAACTGCTGCCATGCATGGAGCGCTTCCTCCCTGCCTGGTGCTGTGTTAGGCTGTCAGGGCATGGGGGGGTCAGGGTTGAATTAGATGTGCTTCCTGCCACAGGGGAGCCAGCACACAGACGTCTCCCTTCCAGGCCTTGTCATGGTGGGGCAGTGGCCACGTCTGAGATCTCTGCAGAAACCCCCAGTTTGTTCCCTATGGCTGTGATCAGCTCCTTCCCTGGCCACACCTGGTGGCCCCCTCAGGCCCCAACAAGTGGGTCCTGGTGGTGGAGTGGAGTCGCTGTGCAGGGGTTTGGATGCAGCTGTGGAGTGTGAGCCAGTGTGCCCCGCCTTTTTAGGGCAGAGAGAAGGGTGTGTGTTGTCTGCCGTGGGGGTGGTGTGTTTATGTCTGTGTGAGTGTCAGGTGTGTATAGTAGAGATGTGCTGTGGGTGGTAGGTGTGTCTAAGGGGGTGTGTTTGGGGTTCCTGGGTTGGAGGCCTGGAGGGCTGCTTCCTGGTCCCTCCCTCTGTTGCATTCTTTCCTACCAGTCTCAGCCCCTTTTAGCACTGGCCAGGCTTGGCTGGAGCCTGTGGCCAGGGCAGACCCCTGGGCCTAGCTGAGACCCATCTGGGCTCACCCCTGAGCCCAGGTCCTCTGCCTGGGGAGGGAAAGCAGGGACACTTGGGTTAGGCTGGCTTGTCCATGACAAGCCTTGATACCCATTTCACACCCCGCTTCTAATCGAGGTTTGTGGGTCAATGGTTCCTCCAAAGGGCCCTCCAGAGCTCAGTGCTAGTCTGAAGACTGAGTCACCCCCGGGCTTGGAGCTGGTCAGGCTGGGTGCCCACGTGCCCCACAGTGGCTGAGGTCCACCTTTTGGTGTCCCAGCTCTGCAGAACAGCTCCCCACCCAGCAATTAGGGAGCTGGGCTGGCCAGTATAGCCAGCGGGGAGTGGGCGGGCAGTACCAAAACTTGGCAGCTGTGTCAGAAACCAAAGCCAGGCCCAGATGTAGGGGGAGGGCACGAGAGAGCCAAAGCTGGGGTGGCTCAGAGGGAACCAGATCCCTGTGAGCTCATCCCTGCTGGGAAAACCAGTTCCCTGTCCCCAAGCCGGCTGGGTGCGGCTGGGTGGCTCTGGGGCCAGCTGATCACAGGTGCCACTGTAGTGGCTACTGCTTGGGGAAGCCCCTCTGTCCTGCCCCTGGTGGACCCCTCAGCTCCCTAGTTGTCCTCAGACCCCCTCCCCCAGCAGACTAGGCCCAAGAGCTAATTCTCTCCAGACTGAGACTAGCTCCCTACACTGGACTCCCTGCCCTTGGTCCCTCTTGTTCTCAGCTCAGGTAGCTTCACACCCTCCAGTGGCTCCCTGGGCCCCTTAACCTGTCACTTGAGGCCTCTGACAGTCTCACTCCAGGGTCACTGATAGTGGTGCCCCTCCTGATGCCAGCAGCCCTCTGGGCCCTCATTCTCCAGATGCCCCCTCACGGTGCTCAGATCTTGCCTCCTTAGGAAAGCTTTCCCTGCACTGACACCCTGCCTAGGCAATTCCTCATTCCCTATACCCTCAGCCCCTCCGTCTCTCCACCAGCTTTTTCTGTGCTGTTGGAATTGTCGGTTTTCCTCTGTTTCCACTGGGCTGTGGGCATGTTTGGGGCAGGGCCCGGCTCTTCTGTTTTCATCCCCAGAGCCTGCTCTGGTTCCAGCCCAGCAGGCACTGGGGGGCTTTGGAGTCAAGAGAGACCACACCCCTCCCCTGACTAGCATATGGATTCAAGCTGGTGGGGCGGGGGGAAGATGGCAAAGTCTCCAGCTCCGAGCGTTCATTCACCTTTCATGCCACCTGGTCTGAACCAGGTCTGTGCCAAGCACTGCCATTCACTGCACAGTGATGTACTGAGTGCCTCCCTCAGGGAGGAAGCCAAGGTGGTCAAAGCCTCTGCCCCCGTGGCCCTTCCCGGAGGGTGGGGGAGAGAGACAACACACACACAGGTCCACAGTAGTGACTGGGCCAGAAGAGTGCAAACATACAGAGGTGGGGACAACAGAGGCACCTCCACAGTGGTGAGCAAGTCAGCAGATCTCAGAGAAGGCAGAGGGAGCCCGTCTGGGGGATGGAGAGTAAATTTCTTTGAGACTGGGGGAGCTGCAGGTATTAGGGAAACTTTTTCCAAAGAGGGTGCAGGTGACAATTCAGATTGCATAACCCACCACCCTAGTAGGTGGGGGCTTTACCCCTCTGTATTGGATTCAGGAACGAAAAAGAATGTGCTGTTTCTTGAAGCAAAAACAAAAGTGGAATAGGTCATGAGAGGAGAAGTTTGAGTGCCGTGGGAGTTCAGAGGAGAGCTGGCTCACTTATCACTCCAGGTCATAGCGGGCGGGGGGACAGATGTTGACCAAACTTTGGTCGGCCACTTCCGAGCTTTCTTTTTGACTGTGCCTTCCTGTGTCCTTCCTTGTGCAGTCCAGTTCTAGCGAGAATCCTGCTAACTTAGGTTAGACAGAGTTCTCCCATCCTCCATATCTGATCACCTTCCATATCTAATCTGGTTCTTCAGCCTCCACCATCTCCCAGGTTATGTCTGGTCACTCTGGCCTGCCTTCATTGAGAATCCTCTGAAGTCGTTTAGCCAGTTCCCCCTGCACCTTGAGGTTTCCTCTTAGTAATTTTCCATCTGCTGACCTCCACCCTGCTCCTTGGCTATGAATTCAATGTTTCCTGGTTATATTTGGAGTTGAGGCCACTCTCTGGCCCCTACCACAATACCCCATTCCAGTAGCCCCCCTTGAATAAAGTCTTCCTTACCATATTCTTTAACACGTGTCATGAGTAATTTTTTTCTTTAACAGAGGTAATCTTCTCAGAGGAGGGGAAGTTGGGGGATATTTCCTCTGGAGTAGGGTGAGATGAAGGCATTCCAGGATGGGCCTGGATTTGGTCACGGGGAAGCATGTGGCAGGTCTATGAGAGGATCTTGTCTGGAAAGGGGTGAAAGGAGGCAAGCTGGACAGCCTGGCAAGCTGGCACAGAAGGACTTCACCTCCTGTGACTGTGGGTGGGTCCCTCAGGCAGCCAAGGGGAAGGGCCAGAACCAGGACCGGCTTTGTGTGTGTGTGACCTGTGTAGTCACCAAGGGCCCCACACTCAGAAGGGCCTTAGACTTGGTGCAATGCTCTGCTGTCATCATCCGGAAGTTAACGATGTTTGAACAAAGGGCCTCGCATTTTCATTTTGCTCTGGGGCCTGCAAATGATATAGCTGCTCCTGGCCTGAACCAAAGCTTTGCAAGGAGTGGCAGGGGTAGGGAGAAACAGGAGACTGGTTGGGAGCTACCTGGAGGGTGGAAGGAAGAGCAGGGCCTGAGAGGGCAACTTGAACTGATGTTGAGCCCTGATGCTCCCAGGTTCTGCAGAAGGCAGGTGGTGGCTGCACTACCCGCTGTTGCCCCCCATCCCCCCAGCTATCAGGGGAGGTTCATCTTTTCCTAGCCTGGCCTTCCTGGACACACTCTGGGAGGCAAGGAAGGCTGTTTTTCAGGAGAGCACTCCAGGGTTTGTCCTCTCTATCAAGAACCTTTCTTCCCTCCCTCCCTCCCTCCCTCCCTCCCTTCCTTCCTTTCTTTTTTGTTATCTAGTATGCTTTTTGTGTACTGGCCTCCCTAACCCCTGCCATTTTTTTTTCTTTTTTTTTTTTGCGGTACGTGGGCCTCTCACTGTTGTGGCCTCTCCCGTCGCGGAGCACAGGCTCCGGACGCGCAAGCTGAGCGGCCATGGCTCACCGGCCTAGCGGCTCCGTGGCATGTGGGATCCTCCCGGACCGGGGCACGAACCCGTGTCCCCTGCATCGGCAGACAGACTCTCAACCACTGCGCCACCAGGGAAGCCCACCCCTGCCATTTTTAAGGTATAATTTACATACAGGAAAATTCACGCTTTGATAGTACAGAGAATTGTACAACCAGCCCTACAGAATAGCCAAGATACAGAATATTTCCATCATCCCCCCTAAATCCCCATGTACCTCATGAATGGTAGTCAGCCATTCTACCCCACCCTCAGGCAACCAATGATCTGCTTTCTCAATAACCTTGTGTTTGTTTTTCTTTTTTGCCCTTTTTGTGAGCAGTGTTTAATCCCACCACATATTAGAACATATTACAAAGTAGTGAGTAAAACAATATGACATTCGTATAAAAATAAAACTATACCTCAGTGGGAAGAACGAAGAGCAAGAAATAGATTTCATTTTGTAGAAAAATCTTAATATTATGGTAACGGGCTTACAAATGAGAGGGTAAGGAAGATTATTTTTTAAGCAGTTCTGGGATAACTGGACAAAAATATGGGGAAAAAAATTTTGCACCACCCCCTGCAAAATAAAATGGACATGCATTGGGAATTAAATTTTAAAAATCAAATCCTAGGAAACTAGCAAAAGGTAAAAAGACTGTTACTGAGTTAGTGGAGAATAGCTAAGTTTTTCTGCTTTGAAGCAGCCACCCTCCAACAAAATAAAACAAAACAAAACCACACAATCCCAACAAGGAAAGATTGACAAAATCAGCCATGTAAGAAAACATGGTGCAACCTGAAAAGTAACGAAACCATGATGTAAGAAGAGCCACATACTGGGGAAAACAATGACAGACAGGGGTGAAGGAGCCTGACGTATGAGCTGGGCATTCTAAGTTCTGGCAGAAGCTAGGCCATGCTCACACCCAGTGTAGCTGAGGGGCAGGCTTCCCCAAAGGAAGTGGGGAAGCCTGGGGCGTTCGTGAAACCCTGTGAGGTCCTGCTGGCTTGGACGCAGCCTCAGCCTCCGACTGTGGCCCCAGGCAAGGTTCATTCAACCCTGACCCCCACAACTCCCGCCTGGGCCAGGACCACCCAGGCTCACGGTGCACGGACAGGCCTCTTCGCCCCCACGCGGGCTGCTGGACGGGCTGTGGACCGCCCCCTTCCTTGCATGTTTCATCAGGTTTGAAACCGGGGTTTCCCCATTCATAAACGGAGGATATCGGCTACTTCAGACTATTTCTGCGCAGCTACTGTGTTCCAAGCACATAGTGTTGGGGCTACAGCAGCGGTGAGTACAAACTCCTGGCCCCAAAGGAGCTTTTATCCTAAAAGGGAGGGGGGGGAGGGGGGGGGGTTAGGGGCAGGAAGACAGAATAAACAAATAAACGCTCAAGATAATTTAAAGTCAAATATTATAAGGAAAACAGGGCTGGATGTGCAAGGGTGTTTTGTGGAGGTGGGGAGGAGGTATGGAGGGTTGTAGGGGAAGATGCCCTGGAATGAGACTGGCCCTAAAAGGAAGCTAAAGTCAGGGAAAAAGAGTCCGAGTCTTTTTTCTTGGGCTGTTTCTAGTCCAAGTCCCTGAAGCCTGAGGAGGGGGCGGGAGGCTTCTCTGCCCCTTCCCTGGAGAGCAAGGGGGCCTTGGAGGGTCGTGAACTCAGCCCTGGCCTGGGCTTGGGGTCACCATCTCTTCTCACTTCCTTCCTAACTCTTACGCTTCCTCCTTAGGGCGGTTGTGCAACCCCTGTCTCCCCTCCATTCTGGAAGGAGAGCGACCAATTTAGGGCAGCAGGGCAGGGCCGAGTCCCTCGCAGCAGAATTTAATTGCCCAGTGTGTTAAGTATGGACTTAGGGGAGCAGCAGGGCTGGGGTAGAAAAAAGGGGACTTCTCTTTTAAACATCATTTGATGTTTCAAAAAGGGCATCAAGGAGCCATCGCGGGAAAGCCTAACTGTTGGACCTTACATGCATTGTGTTGTTCGGTATTGTCTTTACTTTGAACGAGGGTGGGAGGGCGCAGACCGGGGGAGGCAAAGTTATTGCTGGTCTAGGGCTTCTGAACGCGGAGCCGCCGCGCGCACCCCCGCTGGCCAGCGAGTGGGTCACTCCGATTCCTTCCATCAGACGCGCAGAGTCGGGGCCGGGCCGGCGGCCTCGGGCTCCCGGGGGAGCCCGGGCGCAGCCCCCCGACGGTCGGAGGTGCGGTTTCCAGCTGCCGCCCGGACCCTGCGGGCGACTCCACTAGTGCGCGGGAGGGGGAGGCTCGGCCACCCCTCCGCGGAGCCGCGAGTGGGCGAATCCGGAGCCTCGGAGCAACTGTCGCAGGTTCCGGTTCCGTTGACAGCGGCGCCGGAAACCAGGGCCCGGGCTGCGAGACCAGGTGAGAGCCGGCTGGCTTCCCTGCCGGGAGGTGTGGTCAGAGGGCGGAGTGCGGTGGGCGGCTGCTCGGCTACGCAGGCACCCAGGCCCTGGGTCTTCTGTAAAGCCTCGGGACTAAGCCGCCTCACCAGTCCGCCCTTGGGTTTTTCTCCTCAGACGTCGGCCAGGGCCGGGAGTTGGACCCCTACATTCTCAGAGACCCTTCGGGGAGCCGCTCCTACCTGGGGAGTGGCTCGAACTCTCACGTCCCATCCTATTGCGACCCTGCCGAGCCGGAGGTAACCCGTTGCGGACGTGGGAGCCAGGCAGGGCATTCGACTAAGGTCTTTTGAAGGATGAGTAGGAGTTTGCCAGTAATATGCATGCTAATGCAGGTGAAACTCCCAGCAGGGGCTGTAGTCCAAGAAGATTGGTGGGCTTTTTCCTCCTTCCAGGTTTGGTTAATGACAGAAGAAAGATTTGAAACTTGAAATAAAGATGTGCAATGAAGAAAAGGAACAGGGTGATATGATAGACTAATAGGTACGGGGTGGGGCAGAGGGAGCAGCGTTAGATACTGTGGTCTAGGAGAGCGTCTCTGAAGAAATGCGTTTGAAACCCTAACAAGGACCCAGTCATAGGGAGATCTGAAAGAGGGTTCAGGCAGAGGGAAAAAGCCCTGAGGTAGAAATAAACTGATGTTCAAGAAATAGAAAGAAAACTAGTGTGGTTGGAATATGGCCATTGAGGAAGAGAGTGGTAGGAGATGAAGTTGGAGAGGTGGTTGGGAGTTGACTCACATAGAGCCTTGTAGACCCATCTCCCATACTTATTCTGATATGTGGAAATCTGTTGGGTTTTAAGCAGAGGAGTGATGTGTCAGGTGAAGACTGGATAGAGATGGGGGGTGAAGAGATTAAGTGTTGGGTCGGTGGAGGCTGTCCAGCTCTGTGTCAGGCAAAGGGGACCTTTCTGTGATTTGCGCAAACTTCCCTTCTTCTCCCCTGGCCCCAGAAGGGGCCCTCTTGTGTTAGGATGTTGAAGACTGGGGACAAAACTCCTATGCCTGCCTTGGTGGGGATTTCAGTATTTCACTCATGTCTCTTCCTGCCCAACCGAGACAAGTTTGAGCTCAGGGCCCCCTAGTTAGGAAATGGATGTACCCGCTGTGGACCAGGCCCTGGGCTGGTCACTGAGGGGACAGAGAATGAGATTGGACTCCAGCCCTGAGCAGCTCAGTCTAGTGTGGGGAGACAGACGTGTGAATAGGCAGTTTACTGTGCCGCAGTGCTGAGAACTCAGATGTGTGTGGTATAGGCACCCTTGACAGAGGTTTGGTTTGTGAAGCAAAGGAGGAGGCAGGGAGATTTCATTGAGAGCTTCATGGGCTTCATGATTAAACAGCATCTTGTGTTCTCTGTGCAGAGAAGCATGGAGGGCACTCTAGACACAGGAATAGCTTGTGCAGAGGAAGTAAATGTACAATTGCAAAGGGCATGTTATGTCAAATCGTGGCAGTGATGCGTAAAGTGGTGACAGGATCTGATGGGTTGTATTGGGGTGATCACCCTGGTAGATAATTTCTGTCCGTGTGAGACCTTGGGGAGGAGGGCTTAGCATAATGGAAATGAAATTCCCTGGATTAATCCTGAAGACAAACTCACACTCATCCATCCTTGTGCCTGGTGAAAATGACCGGCTGTGATTAAGGGAGAGTGGCTAACCCTGGACAGGCCGAATTGGCCTCTTGGGCTTTTCGGATGGAATACCTGCAAGCAGTTCTGTTTTCCCATCTCGTTTATTTTATAAAAAAAAGTTTTATTGAGGTAATCACAGTTATCAGTTCAGTGTACATTTCACTGGTCCACACAGGCCCTTTTTCTCCTTTGCATTTATTTACATATTCCCTTTTATCCCCATTTCCCCCATTTCCTCCCCTCCCACCCAACTGCAGCAAACCACTCTGATGTATTTGGTACATATCCTTTTATTTGCGTGTGTCCTTGGTTGTATGCATATATTTTTTAAAAACATAAGTGGTGTTCTGCCTGGACTTCATTTTGTTTCTTTTTTTTCCCTTCAGTACCGTGTTTTGGGATCTTACTGATGTTGCTGTGGGTATATCCGGAACATGGTTTCTCAGTGCTACCCAGGTTTCCATAGGTGCATCTCCCACATTTTACTTGACTTATCACTTCCCGTAGGCCCCTGGGTTGTCTCAAACTCCCTGCCACAACACAGCACCGGGATGAAAATTCTTGTACCCATCTCCTCCCTCAGCTTTTTAATACAATTTCAAGATGCTGACTTGGGCTTCCCTTTGATAATCCTGGTATTAGTTGATGTCTGACAGGGCCATACTGTTTGACCTTGGTGAGGTTGTAACCTTTCTTGAGCTGTGTTTATTTTCAGTAAATTGTGATTCTGGCTCCCACTCGTGGCAAACATTCTTTTGTGTTGCCATCTTTCCTGGCTGATCATCTTACAGGCTCTGTGGTTACTTTCCTGTTTCTTGTCATCATTAATCATTGCTGTACACTCATTCCAACCACAAATATTGGCTGCTTTCCTTTCCTGGTGAGATGGTGACCTGTTAAGCTGGTCCAGAGAGGACTGTGCTTCAGCGAAGGGCTCTGGAGCCTGGAGCCAGACTGCCCAGCTTCGGTTCCAGGTCCTCTACTTCCCAGCTACGTGACCTTGAGCAATTTATTTAATCTGAGTTTCATTTTCTCATCCATAAAGTAGGTCTAATAATTGTACCTACCTCATAGTGCTTTTGTAAGAATTAAGTGAATTAATGCATGCCAAGTCATTAGAACAGCGCCTGTCACATAATAAGCCCCTATAAAATATTAACTATTCATAGCAATAATTATTATTATATTATTTCCAACAGATGTCCCTGTTATATTTTGCCTGTGGTGGTTCATATTCCAGTTATAGGGTATTTCCTCAGGGGGCATGAAGAGGGGGGCATGTCTTCTAGACACCATGATTAACAAATTCTAGTGATAGTGTCAACCATAGGAGGGAGGGCATAAATACATCTCAAGGCCCTGGATACCATTTCTCCATCACTCATCCCCTGTCTGATAAGGAGATAGTGGCTACAGGTTGGGCCAAGATGATGGGGCTAGGGCTAACAGGACTGGTGGGAATGGGAAGAGAGGCTGGTGAGACTGGGAGAATCCCGATGGTCACTTTGGACACAGAATTCTCTTTGTGATGTTACTCTGTACCCTTCTTTGAGAAAATGAACAACTGGCTAGATTTGAACGTTTGAGAGATGCATTTGACAGAGCCCTCTCACTCCAAATCCCATAGATGCAAAGATGGGGAGCGAAATCAACTCTATCACCAACATTTTCAGGATTGTCCATGTGTTCAGTATCAAAGGCTGCTCTGAAATGGAGGGGAGCAGTGGCCCAGTGTTGAAGGGACTTAGGAGTGGGACCTTAGTGGTAGGAAAGGTGGGACAAGAAAAGTCAACTTTCTTCAATGGTACCATGAGGAGGAAGAGTTTTACAACAAGAGATGTTCTAGTCTAGTGGGGGAGGCAAGCCCTCAAACAGATCATTACCCAGTGATCAAAACTGGAATAGAAGGGTGCCAAGTGAGAGTGGAGGGAGCCAGGTGAGAGCAGGCTAGGGACAGCTGCAGAAGGAGATGACCTCTTAGCTGCCTTGGAAAGGATGGGCCAGCTTCTCAAGTAGTCGAGGAAGTGAGGGGTGATGGAGAGCATACCAAGGCACGGAGCTGTGAAGAAACAAGGGAATTTGAGCTGCCTGTCTGTGGGCAAGCGGCAGGGAGGCTGAGGTAGGAGTGGTGGGCAAGGCCGTTGTGGTCAGCATTTGTTCCATGGGCTGTGCTTTCAAGCATCAGCCATTCAAGGATTGCCTTCATGGCTTCTGTCACTATAGTACATGGAAAACCAAGTCCACTAAGTGAAGAGTTGGCCATAATGAACATATGAATATACATGAAACATTAGAATGTGCAATGTATGTATGGATTTCTACTTAGCATAGATAGTATTGCCTGCTGAGGGCTCTGCAAGGCCTGCTCTCTTTTCCGATTAAAAAAGAGATGAGGGGAATTTCCTGGTGGTCCAGTGGTTAAGACTCCGTGATTCCACTGCAGGGGTCACGGGTTCCATCCCTGGTCGGGGAACTAAGATCCCTGCATGCTGTGGCACAGCCAAAAAAATTTTTTTAAATAAAAAAGAGATGAACAAGGATTCTAATGAAAAGAGTTAAAAACAGTAATTTTCTCACCATGATTCAGAAGACCCGTCCTCACGCCTACCTGCACCTCCACTGGGCACCCTGGCTGGGGGTGATGGGAGCTGTGTACAGATATGTTAAGCTGGGAATTTCTAAACATTGATATGTGATATGGGAATGGTGAGGTGGGATCTGGGAGCCCTCCTCACTGTGCCCCTCTGGCCCAGGTGGGGCCTGACACAGTGGCTGCCATGGAGCAGTGTGCGAGTGTGGAGAGAGAGGTGGACAAGGTCCTGCAGAAGTTCCTGACCTATGGGCAGCACTGTGAGCAGAGCCTGGAGGAGCTGCTGCACTACGTGGGCCAGCTGCGGGCTGAGCTGGCCAGCGCAGGTGGGTGTCCCCCCAGTAGAGCCCCACACCTGCCTCCCTTGGGGCCTAGGAGACCCCAAGGCTGCTTGATAATAGAGTTCTGGAAGGACGATAGTTAGGGCATTGATACATGGATCCCTAGGCCTCTTTGAAGGGGAATAATGGAAGTCTCTGAGCTATTTCAAAAAGCCCAACAGAAATTATTAATTTACCTGAGATTATTTTCATTTACGTTTTGTTTTCAATTTGCTTTTCTATTTTGAATCTTTAAGACACTTTAAGATAATTTCAAGTTTACAGAAGAGTCCTAAGAACAGTATAAAGAGCTCATATATACCCTTCACCAAGATTCACCAACTGCTAGTATGTTGCCGTATTTGCTTTATCAGTTTTCTTGCATATTCTTACTTTTAAAACCATTAGAAAGTAAGCTGCAGATATCATACACCTAAGCCTTTGATGTGTATGTCCTAAGATCAAGGGCATTCTCTTACGTAAGTACAGTATAATTATTAAAATCAAGAAGTTAGACATTAATATTATGACCTAATGAATATAGCTCATATTTCAATTTGCCATTATCCAGTAATTTTCGTAAAACATTTTAATTTTATCTTCCAGTCCAGGATCCGATCCAAGATCAAGCATTGCACTTAGTTTCTGTGTCTAATCTTTTGTTTTTTAAATATGGGACATTTCCTCCACCTGCCTTTGCCTTTCATGACATTGACATTTTGGAAACATTAAAGCCAGTGATTTTGCAGAACGTCTCTCGATTTGGATTTGTTTGCTGTTTCCTCATTATTTTTTTGCATTTTGGGCAAGAGTACTTCAGAACTGATGTGTTTCTCAGTGCATCACATCAGGAGGTACAAGGTATCAGCTTGTTCCATTATGGGTGATGTTAACTTTGATCAAGATCTTTGGTTAAGATGGTGTCTGCCAGGTTCCTACACCCTAAGGTTGACATTTCTTTCTTTAGAGTTAATCAATAAGTGATTTGTGGGGAGGTACTTTGAGACTATATAAATTTCCTGTGCTTTATCAGACTCTGCCCACTGGTTTTAGCATTCATTGATGATTCTTGTGTGAACCAATCATTACAAAGTTAGTTGCAACATGGGTGATTTTTCCTGGTCTATCATTCCCTATGCACTTATTAGTTGGCATTTAACTATAAGAAAGGAGCTTTCCCTTCCTTCTTTCTTCCTTCCTTCCAAGTTCACACTCATAAATTCTTATATTATTCAATGGGTTATAATCCATTACTGTTATTACTTATTTTGATGATCAAATTGTCTTAGATTTGACCAGAGGTAACCCCTAGTTCCTATGTCCTTATTTTTTTTTTGATTGAGCTATAACTTACATTAAAATTCACCCTTTTAAAGTGTACAATTTAGTGGGTTTTTAGTATATTACCAGAGTTGTACAGTCTTTACCACTATCTAATTACAGAACATTTTCATCTCTCTAAAAAGAATCCCCCACCCATTAATAATCACTCCATTTCTCCTTCTCCCCCAGTCCCTGGCAACCACTAATCTACTTTCTCTCTATGGACTTAGCTATTCTGGACAGTTCATATAAACGGAATCATATAATATGTGGCCTTTTATATTCTTTCACTTAGCGTGTTTTCAAGGTTCATCCCTATTGTACCATGTACTTCATTCTTTTTTTATGTGCTGGGTCATATGGTAACTGTCTGTTCAACTTTTTGAAGAAAATGTTGGCACACTGTTTTGTGTGCACACTGTTTGGCACACTGTTTTCCAAAGTACCTGCAACATTTTATATTCCCACCAGCAATGTATGAGGGTTCCAGTTTCCTCACATCCTCACCAACACTTATTATCACCTGTCTTTTTGGTTATAGCCATCCTAGTAGGAGTAGGCCCAGCCACCACCTCCTGTTTGTATTTGTCAGGACTCATTCAGTTACAGGTGACAGAAACCTAGTTCAGACTAGCTTAAACAAACAAAGGGGGTATGGTTGCTGGATTTATGGATTCAGGTAACTGAAAGGTCCAGCCCAGTTGGATCTAAGTGCTCATGTGATACCTTCAATCTACACTGGCTTCATTCTCAGAGCAGTGCTCCCCTGAGGTGGCCCTGGTGCTCCAGCAACTCCAGTTCACATTTGTTTGTTTAGCAGCCTGGCAGAATGCTTCCCTCTTCCAGGGCTTCTGGTCTCGGAGCTTGAGACGCTCCCTGGCCTTCTTGGGTCACGTTCCCTATCCTAGGTTGTGTTTTCTTCCCTGAACCGAGGTGCTGCCATCTAAAGAAGGGACGTAGATGCTGGGCTGGAAGAAGGGACCCGTGCCCTGTCTGCCCTCTCTATTCCAAGCCCCACGTAGTTCGTGTGGCTCATCCAGCCATGGGGGGTGGAAACCACTGTAAACCTGGCATCCTGAGCCAGAAATGTCCTTGTGCTTCCCTGGAGGACCCTGGCCTGCCTGGTGTCCTCTGGGTTAATTAGAGGCATTAACATGGGGACAATACTTTATGGTTCAAAGCCTTCCCACAGGGTATCTCCCTCAGGATAATAAGGAGCCATCTGGGTGGTGGTGAGGAGCCTGGGCTTCAGATCACTGCTGTGACATCTGGCACGTTACTGCCTCAGCTTCCTCAGCTGTAGTACAAGATACTAACAGTGCCCACTGCATAGAATGGTGGTGAGGATTAAATGAGCTAAAACCAAGTACTTGCCCACAGTAAGTGCCAAATCATCTTCATTTCACAGCAACCTACAAGGCCAGTGCTATCACCCCCATTTTGCAGATGAGGAAATGAAGACTGAGAGATGAACCAGCTTGTCCCACTTGACCAATTCCAAGTCATGTAGTTAAAAAGTGGCAGGACCTGTAGTAGAAGCTTTCACTTTGGAGTTCAGGGCTGCTTCCCGGCCTCCATGCTGGCATTTAGAATAAGGAGGCAGGGACAAGGTCTGCTCCTCTGTGTCCTGACTCATTGCCAGTGTTTCTCTGCAGCCCTCCAGGGGACCCCTCTCTCAGCCACCCTCTCCCTGGTGATGTCTCAGTGCTGCCGGAAGATAAAAGACACTGTGCAGAAACTGGCTTCAGACCACAAGGACATTCACAGCAGTGTCTCCCGAGTGGGCAAAGCCATTGACAGGGTGAGCATGTGGGTGGCCCCGGACTGGGGGCGGGAACACCTGCTGCTAGTGTGTAGCAGGGCTTCTCAGGAAGCCAGTGTGAGAAGTGAGACCCTGAGTCACAGGGCCCTGTCTCTCATCCTTGTCAGAACTTTGACTCTGAGATTTGCGGTGTAGTCTCCGACGCAGTGTGGGACTCTCGGGAGAAGCAGCAGCAGATCCTGCAGATGGCCATCTTGGAGCACCTGTACCAGCAGGGCATGCTCAGTGTTGCTGAGGAGCTGTGCCAGGTAACGAGCCCGCTGGGAAGGCACTGGTACCTGCCTGTTCTGCTTTCTACTTGGTAGTTTTCTTTATATTAGGACTCCATTATTATTTTTTTCTTGTATGCAGACAGGTTGGCGTATTTACATGACTCAGATATGTATGTCATCAGCTCTGATTGTCTGATAGGGATACCTGTTCCCAGAGACCTGTTTCCAGTGGACAGTTGGCCTGGCAGGGCATCCTCTCCTCTGGACTGCACATGGGAAGTCCAGCGTTTCCTCCAAGATCGCCCCTTAACTTTGCTTCCATTGTAGACCAGCTCCTTTCTGTTGATGCATTCTTTCCTTAAACGGGTTAATAGCTATTTTAAAAATTGTATTTAATTTATTAAAACTAAAAAAAAAACAAAAACAGTTCACCCATTTCTCCCACACCCTACCCTGCACCTCTGGTAACCACCAATCTGTTCTCTGTATTTATGAGCTTGGTTTTCTTAAAAAAAACTTTTTTAGATTCCACATATGAATTCATATGGTATTTGTCTTTCTCTGTCTGACATATTTCATTTAGCATAATGGTCCATCCATGTTACCACAAATGATAGGATTTTCCTACTTTTTAAATGGCTGAATAATATTTCATTTTACACACACACACACACACACACACACCATCTTCTTTATCCATTCATCCATTGATGGACACTTACGTTGTTTTCTTATCTTGACTATTGTAAATAATGCTGCGATGAATATGGGGGTGCAGATATCTTTTCAAGTTAGTGTTTTTATTTTCTTTGGATAAGTACCCAGAAGTGGAATTGCTGGATCATATGGTATCTCTATTTTTAATCTTTTGAGCCATACTGTTATCCATAGTGGCTGCACCAATCTACATTCCCACCAAAGGTGCACGAAGGTTCCTTTTTCTCCACATCCTTGCCAACACTTGTTATTTCTTATCTTTTTGATAATAACCATTCTAACAAGTGCAAGGTGATGGCTCACTGTGGTGTTGATTTGCATTGCTCTGCCCTGATGATTGAGGTAGAGAATCTTTTCATGTGCCTTTTGGCCATTTTGATGTGTCCTTTGGAAAAATGTCTATTCAGATCTTCTCTCCATTTTTTAAGGTTTTTTTTTTTGCTATTGAGTTATATGAGTTTTTATATATTTTGAATATTAGTCCCTTATCAGGTACACGATTTGCAAATATTTTCTCCCGTTTGGTAGGTTGCCTTTTCATTTTGTTGATGGTTTCTTTTGCTGTGCAGAAGCTTTTAATTTAGTTTGATGTAGTCCTGCTTTTTATTTTTTATTTTTTGCTTTTGTTGCTTCTTTAAATAAATTTGAGAAATCAGTGCCCCGATATAAAAAGAGAGTAGCTATAAAAATATATACAATGGGGCTTCCCTGGTGGCGCAGTGGTTGAGGGTGCGCCTGCCGATGCAGGGGACGCGGGTTTGTGCCCTGGTCTGGGAAGATCCCACATGCCGCGGAGCGGCTGGGCCCTTGAGCCGTGGCCGCTGAGCCTGCGCATCCGGAGCCTGTGTTCCGCAGCGGGAGGGGCCACAGCAGTGAGAGGCCCACATACCGCAAAAAAAAAAAAAAAATTATATATATATATATACACACAATGGGGGCTTCCCTAGTGGCGCAGTGGTTAAGAATCCGCCTGCCAATGCAGGGGACACGGGTTCAAGCCCTGGTCCGGGAAGATCCCACATGCTGCGGAGCAACTAAGCCCGTGCGCCACAACTACGGAGGCTGTGCTCTAGAGTCCGCGAGGCACAACTACTGAGCCCGCATGCCACAACTACTGAAGCCCGCGCACCTAGAGCCTGTGCTCCGCAACAAGAGAAGCTGCAATGAGAAGCCCACGCACGACAACCAAGAGTAGCCCCTGCTCGGCTCAAGTAGACAAAAGCCCGCGCGCAGCAACAAAGACCCGACGCAGCCACAAATAAAATAAATAAAATAAAATTTAAAATATAAAAAATATATATATACAATGAAAAGTGAAGTTATTAATTTCTAGGTAGAGTTGGTTGCCAGCCAGAGGTCTGAGTGCCTGGAAATCCCTTTCTTCAAAAGGAAGATTAGTAAAATGACGAAGTAGCACTTGTTAGGTGTTAAAGACACACTAGAAGTGAAAATAAAGGATACTTTCCCTTAATGTAATTAGGGGGATTGAAAAGGAATAATTTTCTCTCCATGTTCCTCAGTGTGGGTCTCCAGTACCCCAGCAGGTGGGGTGGGGTTTGCAGTCTGCTCTCTGGGAGGCCAGCATGTAGCACTCAGCCTCCCAGAACTGAACTGGGAATAAGAGGGGTCCAGGTGTCTGGCAAGAGACCATGGCTCCTCATGTAAAACCTGGCCCTCTCTAGCTTGTCTTTGGTGGATGAGGCTTTATTAGGTGTACAGCAGAGAATTTTGGAAACACTGTCCTCCAGTGGTGAATTGTTCTCTCTCCCTCTAGGAATCAACACTGAATGTGGATTTGGATTTCAAGCAGCCTTTCCTGGAGTTGAATCGAATCCTGGAAGCTCTGCATGAACAAGACCTGGGGCCAGCATTGGAGTACGTTGGCCCTTGGGTGGGCCCGCGGGGGACAGGGCTTGTCTGTGCTCTTCACCTCACTCAGCGTACTTGACACGTCTCCAGCTCTGTCTCACGGGCCTCACATAGGCTCTTGGAGGCTCTGCCAGGGCCCCTTCTCTCGCCCCACCAGCTCCACACTCAGCTGGCCCCTTTCTTCCCAGATGGGCCGTCTCCCACAGGCAGCGCCTGCTCGAGCTCAACAGCTCCCTGGAGTTCAAGCTGCACCGACTGCACTTCATCCGCCTCCTGGCAGGTGGCCCTGAGAAGCAGCTGGAGGCCCTCAGCTACGCCCGGCACTTCCAGCCCTTTGCTCGGCTTCACCAGCGGGGTACGTGCCCCGAGTGCCAGGGTGGGCAATGCTGGGCTCTGGCGGACATCACGTCTGGGATTGCCCATCCCTGCCCCACGTGGGGCTGCGTGTTACCGGAACTCCTCCCCCACTGTCGCCCAGGTGAACTCCAAACTCAAGGCCCTTCCTCACCACCTCTGCCATACCCCCCTAGTTTCATCTCACACCACCTCTGGTCCCCAGCCACATGCCACACCCCCACCCAGAGCTCACCAGGCTTGCCCACGACACGCGTGCCCTCATGCTGCTCTGCCTCACAGCAGGA